AAAAAAAAAACTCCTAATCTTTGCCTTCGTTTCCATCGTCGCTCGAGAGTCTGCCAATATTACGGAATAGGTAAAACGATTGAACGATGCCTGATAATTTTCTAATTCTCCGCGTTCCAAATGCCTTCAACTAATTTCGGACCATTGCTGGACCCGTAGGCCCAGCTGCGTGAAATCCTTCTGAAGAAGCCCTGAAAATGTCTCGACTCGCCCCGTGGCGGAGCCGGTACGAGCTGACGTCAGGAGCACGCAACACCTCGGAAGCAGGGGAGGGCGGGGCCGGCCGGGGACCTGCTGCTGGGAGAGCAGCGGCCCGAGCCCGGGCCATGGCGAAGCTGCTGAGCTGCGTCCTAGGCCCCCGGCTCTACAAAATCTACCGGGAGAGGGACTCTGAAAGGGCCCCGTCCAGCGCCCCTGAGACTCCAACTTCAGTCACTACTCCCCATTCCAGCTCCTGGGTGAGTCGAGTTCCCCCCGGTCAAGAACATGGTACAGTCTAAACCCTTTACGGCCTTTGCTCCCCAGAAGTGGTTATTATAGGAAATAAGGGGCGCCTGCTTGTCAGGCCAGTTGTCTGCAAAGTCTGCGCTCTTTGTGCTTCCTGGGTTAAAGTCACGCCTACAGACCGGCCACCTCCTTTCTTTGTCGCTGTTTGAGCACCGCTTTCTCATTCCTACTTCCACTCCTTGCTTTTTTCTCTCCGAGGCCCCCCACCCTTTCTGTCGTGGTTCTTGCTGGTCCCAGTTGAGTCTTAAGTCCTAGAAGAGACCCCGTGCGAATTGGGGAGCTGGTGAATTTTGTCGTCAAACCCCTAGTTTCTTCATGCTCAGTGCCTCTTGGCACCTCCCCCGGCTCCGTTTTTATTTTCCCTTTACCCTGGCCTTGGATTTCAAAATGACTTCTACAGATCATGTATCCATAGGCCCTCCCTTCACCCCTCGCCCCTCAAACCTAGTCTGGAGACCCTAAGGTCACTGTATTCATGAGGAGGGGGGTGAGGGTAGGTTGTTTCCTTAAATATTCTCTTTCTTTTTATCAGGATTCTCTCAGTGTGTTTACTGTCTCTGCAAACTGCCTGTTTCTAGCCACAGTCTCTCACTTATTCAAGCACTCTTATTTCTGATGTTCTTCTTTCCCTCATAGAATTGTCATGGAGTCTTTCCTTTCTCCTCTAACCCTTCTCCCCATATGCACACGCCCACAATCCATTTTAAACTGGGTGTGGAAAAGGAGCAAAATTCATCCAAATGCTGCTTTCACTTTTACTTCCAAGGCCAGCTTCCTGTGGTTGTTCTCATGGTTAGGGGTGGAAAATTAGGTTCAGGGTAAAAGTGAAGATAAGGGACTTATGTTGGGGCTAGGAATGCCCCAGGAGAGATAGCCAAGCGTCTAGAACTGGAAGACACACATCACAGCTCCCATAAGGGAAGGGGAAGGATCTGTCAATGGGCAGGGTCCTAAATAAGTCCATCTGTTTTGGCAGGATACATACTATCAGCCCCGTGCCCTGGAGAAACATGCTGACAGCATCCTGGCACTGGTATGTGTACCCTGGCAACTGGAACTCATTGCATCTTTTCATACCCAGCTGCTCTCTTGAACTCACTCCTCCCCAGCCT